TTGTTTGTCGAAAGCCCATTTGATATTAGTTTGGGTAAGTTTTGTTTTACATAAATCCATTATACCTATCCCTTGTTCTATAATTTCTTCAATTAGACTTCTTTGATTCGTCTTATCTATGATACCTCTAATATTATGTGTTCTGATTCTAATTACCCTTTTTTGTATATCTTCTATTTCTACTTGTTCCTTTTCTATTATTATGTTTTTTCCTTTTTTGTTGAGGAAAGTATCACATTTCTTTTGTAAGAATGTTGTTAGATCTAAATTATCGTGTTGTTCTAATAAAACCTCTTTTTCTTGTATTTGTTCTCTGCCCTTGTTGTTAGTTGCTGTTTAGAATGAAGTAGGCATGTTCATCTCTTGTCTCTTTGGGTTGCCTGTTGCATCATTTTAGGAGTGATTGGTCCCTCTTCTATCTCTATTTATCTTATTTGGAGTTGTTTGTCCTTCAAGTTTATTTATTCTACCACTCAGTTTTTCAAGATTGACCAAAATAAGCTGTAGAGGGTCTTGGTTACCTTCTACCTCTAATCTGGTATCTTCACTGCTAATATTCTGCTAGTGAGTCCTTCGTCTTCTTATTGGCTCTCTATTACTACCTGTAGCAGGATATCTAGTTGTTCTATAATTCTCCTGCCTTACTCTATTATTATTCCTTTGTTTTGTTTGTCTTTGATTTCTGGAGTGTGTAGGTTTTATAGTGTAGGGATGACGATAAGAGAAGGAAAAAGAAGATCTTGTAGACTCATAGCCTGATGTTGAATTTGAAGTTGAGTCATTATCGATATTGATTTTTTGGGATCTTTGATAATGTAATTTCCTTTCTTCACTTATAGAGCTAGTATTTTTTCTATTGCTGGGATTCTTCATGCTTCAGGATAGTCTTAAACCTTATAAAAAAATATATTATTTGCATGCCTTGTCCCTATTTTCTCTTGTTGCGAAACAGACAACTGTAAAGTTCTGTTTCTTTAATGTGTAAGGGTTTTTGGGAGTATAGCATACTTTTGCCTGGATACTATGTAAAGCTCTTGCTATCAAACTGGTATATGTTTTGTTTATACCCAACAGTCTCGCTGAGTTGATATTTTTCTCAATTAGGGTGGCATTTATCTCTTCATCAGTCAACTCTGATTTAGTAAAAATGGCTTTGAATGTTTCAGTACCTATAGGGTTATCCATGCTTCTGCAAGATCCCATTTAATATATTTATGAAACTTGAAATAGGCCTTGGTCCTAGTCTTCATTTTGAACTTATAGATATGAATGTTTTGAACTGTTTCATATCTTTTGAGATGTTCAGCTATATAACTTCTGGAAACCTTCTGATCTAGATCTATTAGACTGACATGCGATATATTTTCCCCTTTAAATTCTTGAAAGATTTTTTTGTTTTTTTTTGTTTTTTTTCTCTTTTGGTCATGTGGATAGAACGTGAAATGTGAGGAGTTATTTGTTGTATAGTGAAATTATTCTCTTTGTAGTTTATCTCTTCTATGTATTTTAGAACATTCTTTTTTTCTTGTATCCAAAAGGTTAACTATTTATTTTCATTGATAAATTCTTTCTTTAAGAGGTGTCTTTCTCTCTGTGGTAGTTTCAAGGTATTGCTTAGGTAGGCCTTGGCTTCTTCTTCTGTTTCCCCTGGAATATTGATATTCATGACATCGAGTCTATATATTCCTTCTTTTCTTATAAAATATGGATTTGTAGATGGGACGAAGTCCTTATTTCTCATGTCATATGAGCTGTAATCACTAATGTTGTTGTCTTTTATTTTCTCTTGAAGCCTTTGTATTTTGGCCTTTTCTTGTTCATAATCACTGATCATTGTGATTTCATTATCTATCATTGACTCAGTATCTACATATTCTGTGATCTCCATCAGTTGACTTTTCGACTCTTGTGGATCACTTGCATTCTTGATAATTTCTATGAATTTATTTTCTATATAAGGCTGTAGAAGATCTTCTTCTTTTTCCTTTCCTTGTTACCAGAGGTATAGAATATATTGAGTAAGAATCCGTTCCTTATGAAATGTTGTTTTGTCTATTCCTAGGATATTAGCAATAATACTATCTAGGATAGTAAAAGTCTCTAGAGCAGAAGTTGTTTCTTCTTTTGAGTCTCCTTTTTTTTGTCTTATCAATTGTTAGGATGCCCATAGTTCTAAGGTTTCATTATGCTTTCTTGAAAACTTAATTAAGATATTCAAGATGTCCTCCTTCCTTTTGTTTACTATATGAAGGATGCATTGTGCTCTTTTCATGTTGACTGTGTCACGTGATTATTGAATGAGTCACGTTTCGTGGATTAACTCTGTTTATTTGTTTACTTATTCAGATAATATTACTGAGGTTTCCTAATTTATCTGTTGTGTTGGTAGATCAATTGTGGGGTAAATACAAGTTGCAGGTTGTTTATCTGTTTATTTGTTGATTTTAGTAATACATGTGCTGATTTTATTAAGGGATAAACTGGATATGAGGAACATGTTTTGTGATTAGCTAGAATACGTATTGAGCTTGTTTATCTGTTTAGAGACATGTCACATAATCTGTTGTTATGTCTATATTGTCTAAAGGGTCATGTTTGTGTTCATATTACATGCTAGTTATTTATGTGTTGCTAATATGTTGTTACTGATAATCTCTAGCTGTTGCTCTTGATTTCTAATTTCCTCTTGGGTCTTGCAAATTTTGAGTTTTGACTGGTTTACCAGTTGAGATTACTATATTGCCAAGTTCCTTCTAATGTCTAGAAAGGTATAAATCTGCACTGGCCTGATTGAAAGCTAGGAGAGTTGATGTTGGGTCCCTTGGCCTTACTGTAATTCAGATTTACTTTTGTTTTCTCTTTTCCTCAAAAGTTGATGAATAAAGTACTAATAATATTATTATGTACACTTCTTCTGGTAGCTTGTTTGTAGATCTTTATGTATTGCTCCAAGTGAAATTATGTAGTTGTGTTTCTCTTTACTGTGTTTGCTAAGCTTGGATTGTGTTATCCTTTTTTCTCTAAACAATTACCAAAAAAAGAAATTTTTTGAAAAATAGTTATCTTCGATCTGTTTCTGTTTCTTCGAGATATGTATAATATTATCTATACTAGTGTTTTTGAAATAAATATAAGATGCAGCAGCAATAAAATATTAAATGTCTTGTACTCACTTGACTATAAATATAGTTGAAACAGTGAATTGATATAAAGGTTTGATCAATAATTAAGGTGCCAAATTATTTAATTGATAAAAGATTTCAGTTAAAGTGATCCAAAAGGTGCCAATTTATTTAGTCAAAAAAGAAAGAACTAAGTATACAGTTGCAGCAAAAGCAAAGGCAGTTAATGGAACAGCTGTAAAAATATTAGCAAACAATAAAAATATACATTCGTTTCTAGTTATGTGATGCCAGACAGTTGTATATATTTACATAAATCAATTATTTAGCCAATATATAAAAAGGTGTATATATTTTCTTGAAAACTAACAAGAAACAAGAAAAAAAACATTTGCAAATAAAAAAAAAATTCTTAGGCAAGATATCTGGCAGTAGAGATAGTAAAGTGATAAAAGTAAAAGGAAGCAAATAAAAAATCGACAAAAAAATTGAAAAAAGTTTTTTTTATTTATTGTCTAATCATGTTTCTCTACCATAAATCACTTTTACATTGATCAATTTTTAACAATTACTATTTACCCAAACAATTACAGCAACTTGCATCAATTGGATTATATCAGTATTATATTGGATACTATAGCAGCATTATTATATAAGTGCTACAATATATAGGTTGCTTGCTTCATTAAAAATTTTTTTTACCTTAGAAAAAGTCTAAACAATAAATATAATTCTGACAATACATTAAACAATACAACAACAAAAATAAAATTTAAAATGAATCACTAGCATTTCTTGCCAAAGGCCTTTTCCATTATAACCTCAAGCACATGCATATCCTAACTTGCTTACCGAAAAGACTTGTTTTAATGGAGCACTTATTGCAAATAATGATAAGTCCCTAAAGCATTTAGCATATAAAATTTTTCAGATTACTTATGTCCCTTTTTGAGGAACAAAATTCATAGCTCTTCACTTTAATAGGAACAAAGGTCAGAAAATACTATAAATCAATGATTTGAATAATGGAGAACAATTATGGATAGTTTTTTTATAGTTATTAATTTAAAAAGTTTAATGTTTCCTAGTGAAGAACATTTGACTTTTATTCCTATCTTCCTCTTTAGGAACCTATTTTTAGTTACAGGTGCTGCCAAATAATTACATATCATTAGTGCCAAACATGAAAATTGATGTTTATGCATTTTCCACTACTCTAATATATCGATTTTATCACCCACATTTGGAAGAGAAAAATATAGCTGTAATTTATCTGATTTTTCTACATAATAATGCTTAAACAGCTTTGAACTAATTGTTTCTCAGGTATATTTGTCACTGCTTGATGCAGTATTTTCTATATCACACTTTTTGTATTTTTTAAAAGTTCCTAAAAAACTTTAAAATTTTTTTTTTTTTTTTTTTTTTTTTTTGGACACACAACGTTGCCCATTTTTTTTATTATATGCGTTACATATACTTTTATTTACAAAACAATTTTATAAACTTTTTTTTTTTTTAGAAAAAAAATAAAAAAAAATAATAATTATTATTATTCGTAAAACAAAATATATAAAGACCATATATAACACAATCAGCTTCTTACCACTTTAACAGAAGTTATGGTAAAAATCTTAGAATTTTTTTTTAAAGGGATTTTCCTACATTTCAGTATTAGGGAGAAACCCTATTCTTAAACCATTTACAGACACACAAGTATATGATAATTCTAAAGTATCACATTTCATTGCACAGTTAAATGATACAACTTTCGTTGCCTATAACCCGGATTTTTATAAAATTATCGGAACGAATCCAAAGTTGAAGATACTTGCTAATAAGAATTATTCGTTTGCTCACGAAGCTGGCGTATATGTAATGGAGAAAAATGAGGTCTTTTTCACTTCAAATCGTCTTGGTAATACTTCCACGGCTGACCAGTATACGGAGATCAGCAAGATCGATCTCTCAACCGGAGATGTGACTATTGTAAACCCGAAACCACCAATTCTCCTTGCTAATGGTGGTACATATCACGACGGAAAAGTCATCATTTGCTCTCAAGGTCAACGAGACATTGGTGGGTCTATTGTCTCTCTCGATCCTTATTCCAATGAAGCTACCACTGTCGTCGATAATTTTTTTGGTCTCAAGTTCAATAGCCCAAATGACATCGTTATTTCAAAAGATGGTAGCTATTGGTTCACGGATCCCAGTTACGGTTACGAACAGAAATTTCGTGATTCACCACAACTTGGAGAATATGTTTATCGTTTCGATCCTTTCATCAAAAACATTCGTGTGATAGCAGATGGCTTTGTGAAACCAAATGGTATCGCATTCTCTCCAGACGAAAAGACGCTATACATAACCGATACCGGTTTCTTTACAAGCTCCGGAGAATATGATCCGATGAGGCCGCACGTGATTTATGCGTTTGACGTAAATAGCGATAAAAATTTGTCTAATCGACGTGTATTTGCTGTAACCGACGTTGGTATTCCTGATGGGATAAAACTTGATGTCAAAGGTAATGTGTACACTGGCACTGGTGATGGCGTTCAGGTATTTGACAGTTCCGGAACCTTGTTGGGAAAGATAATAATACCGAATAGTGTGGCCAACTTTGTTTTCGCCAAGAATACCTTGGTAATACTATGGGAAACTACCATATATGAGGTAAACTTGCTGATAGAGGGTGCCCTCAAGTAACATAACGTGTCATTTCCCGAAACAATGTAGATGATCAATTTCATAGCAAATATAAGCAATATACTGTGCGTAAAATTTTGAACTGTAAACTTTATAATTTTAAAAAAATAAAAAAAAAAAAATTTTTTTTTTTTATCTTTTATACATTCAATTATTTTATATATTGTAAATGTTTTTTTAGACCGCTGTTACCATTAGACGGATTAGATTAGAAAATATTTGATCAAAAATTTCCATGTTACTTTAAATAATATTCGAACGCCTTAAATTCACTCTAATTCCTTCATCATAGCAATTGCCAACACTAAACGTTCCGTTTTCATCAACCATAGCTCATCTGATTTTCCAAAAAATATTCGAGCGCCTTATGTTCATCCTTTTCAACTCCAACTCCGAAATCGCACGTCTTAGAATGCCTTACGTTCATCCTTTTCTACTCCAAATCCGTTATCATAACAATAACATTATAGTCCCATCCACTTGGTCGGTTTTGGATGATCTCACGTTCTTCCTTCGCTAAAGAAATACCCAACAATATACATCTATTTGCATTACCCACTTCACCTGTTTTTTGATAGCAATAGAATGCCCTGTGTTCTTTCTACGAACTCTATTTCTCTTTAACAACAATAGACGATACTCTTACATTACTCATCCCTGCTGGTTTT